CTAATTCGTGTTAGTAGTATTCCTCCTCCTCATCCATCTCCTCCTCCTCCTCGTCCTCTCTCCTCCTCTTCCTCCCCCTCCTCCTCATCCTCCTCCCCTCCTCCTCCTCCTCCTCATCCTCCTAATCCTCCTCCTCCTCATCTCTCCCTCCTCCTCTCCTCTCCTCCTCCTCATCCGCCTCCTCTCCTCCTCCTATTCCTCCTCCTCCTCCTTCTCCTCCTCCTCCTCTCGTCCTCCTCCTCCTCCTCCTCCTCCTCCTCCTCCTCCTCCTCCTCCTCCCTCCTCTCCTCCTCCTCCTCCTCCTCTCCTCCTCCTCCTCCTCCTCCTCTCCTCCTCCTCCTCCTCCTCTCCTCCTCCTCCTCCTCCTCCCTCCTCCTCCTCCTCCCATCCTCCTCATCATCATCATCATCATCTCATCATCATCATCATCATCATCCTTCTCTCTTCTCCTCCTCCTCCTCCTCCTCCTCCTCCTCCTCCTCCTCCTCCTGTCACCTCCTCCTCCTCCCTCCTCCTCCTCCTCCCTCCTCCTCCTCCTCCCGCCTCCTCCTCCTCATCCCTCCTCCTCCTCCTCCTCCTCCTCTCCTCCTCCGCCTCCTCCTCCTCATCATTTCCTCCTCCTCCTCCTCCTCCTCCTTCTCCTCCTCCGCCTCGTCTTCCTCCTTGTCATCCTCCTTCTCCTCCTTCTCCTCCTCCTCCTCCTCCTCCTCTTCCTCCTCCTCCTCATCCTCCTTCCTGCCCCTTTAATCGTCGCACCCTTCGCGTCTGCCCAAACCCTCGCCGAGAGTGGCAGAGCTTGTGCAGTATGCTGTGGCCCTGCTTCGAAATCGAGAGCGACCGAATGCTTCAAAAAAGAGTCCTTTCATCTCCAACGTGCCAGTCGCAAACTGCCACGAGCCCCCACGGACTGTGTTTGGACTTGGCTTGTGCTTGGACGCGCCCCTACACGCCCTATTTAATCAGAAAGACCTTGGCATGTGGTTTTGCGGCAGCAGCGGATAATTCGGCAAGGCCCATATCAGGGGTCTCAGTATCGTGTGCCACCCGACGCAGATCACTAATGCCAGGCGCGAGTATTTAGATCGAATATCTCGCGATATGCTTCTCGAGTGCTGAGCATTTGCCAGTCTTCTATCACTACGTGATGGCGGAAATCCTGGAAATCTTTCTCCTCCTCCTCCTCCTCCTCCTCCCTCCTCATCCTCTTCCTCTTCCCTCCTCTATCCTCCATGCTCCCTCCTCCATCCTCGCTCATTATCCTCTTCCCCGAGGGCGAGAAAGAGATAGAGAGAAAGAGAGAGAGAGAGAGAGATAACAAACAAACAAAAAAAGAGGGAGCGAGAGTGGAGGGATGGAGGACGGAGAAAGACAGAAGGAGATTGGAGAAAGTGGGAGGGATATGAGATGAGAGAACGGGAGAGGGAGGAAAATAGGGAGAGTGAGGGGGAGAGAGAAAGGGAGAGGGAGGGATGGGGGGGAAGGGAGGGGGAAAGCGAGAGGGAGAGCGAGAGGGAGGGGGGCGGAGAGCGGAAGAACAAAAGAGAGGGGCGGGAGAGAAAGGATTGCATTGAGGGCATTTTGGAGGAGGCATGTAAAGAGTCAATGGCACTCAGACCTCCGACGTCGTGCTGTTGTCCAATACGTGGCGCTCGCTCCTCTGGCCCCGTTCCCTGAAACCTGATTTTCGCCCCGGGCTGCCTCTGGATGGCACTGGGCCCCGAAACAATCAGGAAAAGCAGATCGAGAAATGCGCTGCCCCTCAGGAGGAGGAGGAGGAGGAGGAGGAGGAGGAGGAGGAGGAGGAGGAGTTGGAGGAGGATAGATCTCAGGAAGGCTTTTCCTCGGACTGCCTCTGGATGGCCCCAGGCCCGGAACAGTAGACCTCGGGGGGCCCAGCTCGGGGGAGAAAGGCGCTGGCACAGAAAGACGTCGCGACGTCGCCGGCCTGGGGTTAGGTCGGGCATGTCCCCCTGCAGGCGAATTTGGGGGCGAAAAATCAAAAATACCCCCACGCACTCCAGAATAATCAAAAAATGCCCCAAAAAAATCGCCCCCGCATTGTTTCTTTACTATTTTTGAATTTTCCTCCTGTAGAGGGACAGGCCCGACGTAAGCCTGGGGAGCGGGGGGTGGAGAATAGAAGAAGAAACAATTGCACAAGAGGCTCCCAAGAGGCCCCCAAGATGCTCCCAAGAGGCCCCAGAACTGCCCCCCAGAGACCTAGGAGCGCGCTCCGAAGAGGCCCCACGTTAGCGTCGTCGTCGTCGCCGACGCCGCCGTCGTGATCGTCGTCCCCCTTCAGGGTCGGCGGCACTGGCCGTAAGGCCTTCCCAATAGAAGAAGAAACAACTGCACAAGAGAGCGTGTGTTTCTGTTCGGGATAGCGGCCGTTACCGGCCCCGGCCGACCCCTGCCCCCCCCCGAGGTGAGGTCACGATTCGTGCTGACCTCCGAGTTGTCTCTGGCTATACCTGAGCATTCCCAGACGGCGCCGCCGCGA